TAGTTACTGATCAGAACAACGTCCCTTTTCCCTAAGTGCAGTTAGGGGCTCCATTCGCAGAAGGGGGGAATAAGACACAGGGCAAGCTAGGGTTATTAGGCAGTTTCAGGGACAGTGCAGGAGGGGACCTCTGAAGAATTTAGGGAGGCTTCAGAGATAAGGACAACCAAGGGAATGTAACCAATTCCACTAGGAAAAACAAACATCTCAGGACCAAGGACAACATTGTTAACGCTGGTCCTGGTTTCCTTCAGGTGGTAAAGGGAGGCAGAGATTGGCGAAATGGACAGTGGTTTAATTTATGGACAACTTAGAAGGGCAGCTGTTTAACTTCAATGCAAGGATGCCCATCCAGAGGACTGGGCCATAAAGATAAAGATGCAACAAATGGGGAAAGAGAAAGCTGTTAGATAAGGAATGTGAAGATCCCCCACTCAGTAGCAAATTAGGTGAAGACAGCCGAGAACTAACCAATCACAAAGAGACTGGTGGAGCTTTAGAATAATCAGGGAAAGAAGGTGTATATTCCCTGGGACACGACTCCACTTTGGCTTCCTTGCCCCTCCCAGTCCTGGTTTCCTGGCCTGGGAGTCCCACTTTATTTCTGTTCTTTTCCTCCTCAATAAACTTTTTCTTTCTCTAAACAAACCTGCCTCTTCTTGCTTGCTTGCCTGAGCGTCTGCGAAGTTCCTGCTCCGGCTTCGTGAGACACCAACCCGTGGGGGTCTAGTGGCTGGGGCTCAGCGCTGCCCTGCAGCCTGAGATCCGTTCCTGGCTGAGAGACTAGGCCTGACAATTCCGGTATCACTCTCACCTCCCGCACCTCTAGCCTGTACCCCAGCTTTTGTATGTATAATAAATAAAATAAATCTTAGGAAAAAAAAGAATTTTATTTGAATCTTTTTCAACTTTCTGGGTCTCCAATTTCCTTCTTGTTAAATTATTAGCAGGTAGAATGAAGGCCAACCTGGAACCCCCAAACACGCATGCTGTAAATAGTAGATGCTGCCATTCATCACATAAAGACAAAACATACTCTTAGTGTGGAAAATGGCCAGTAGAAAGAACTTTAGTAGAATTAGTGTAAATGATCAGCCAAACAGGGTTGACCCAAAGCAGGGCCACTGAGGCCTGAAAGCTTGCCACAAGTCTAACACACCTTCTGGCAGTGACCCATAGGAAAGGAGCAGAAAGGGCCTGGAAGGAAAAGAGCAAAATCAAAATACAAGTCACAATAAAGGTTGACAATGTCAGCCTCTGCGTGGGTTGCTCACCCATGTCTCTTTCTGTTGGGGGAACAGAGTGAGAGCAATATAGAGAGATTAACTGGTCAATACAACCTACCCGTAATGCTTCCTGAAATGCCTCCTTGTATATCCCATAAGTCCTTGGTGCAAGTCCCAGGCAGCTTCTTCTTCAAATGTCCCCTTTCCATGTGTGCCTCATCCAGGTCTTCTCCCTTCAGCCTTCTCTCCCAAATCCTTTTTAGCTTCTCACTGCTTAGCTCTACCCTTCCTTGGGGCAGGGAACCTGGAACCTCCCCTTTCTATGAAGATTGCATTGTTAGAAAATGAAACTATATGTGCTAAATGCCTTTCAGCTATAGACTTCTAAAAATTTGATCATTTTTTTTTTGAATAACTAAAATAGATAGTTAATGAGATTTAAATGTCAAGGATGATAATTATATATCCAGTTTTCCTGGGTCTATTTCTACCTTTGTCCCCATGAAATTATTAATTATGTCATGTTATTATTTTCAGAAGTTTACTGGTTTGGATGGTAAATGATATGGTCACTATAGGTATCATGCTATATGAAAAGATGCAGCCTATTTCTTGACTACTAATAATTAATATTTATTCATCAGTAGCTGTGTGCCACACCTTATTATGATGCTTCAAATATTTTAATTCACTTTATCCTCATAACCCTGTAAGTCAGACACTATTATTAACCCCATTTTATAGATCAGAAGAATGAGTTTCAGAGACATTAAAACCTTGCCAAAGATCACAGAGCAAATAAATAAATAGAACACCATCTTCTCCTACTTCTCATATTCAATATTTGTAAGTGGAATTAATTGATTATAATTAATAAAAACAACAGGAATGGGTGATCAAAAACTATTTATCAAAGTATAGGAACTCAGATAATACATATGAGTACCAATTATAGCAATTCATTTTTCTTTATTTCTTGCTTATAGGGATAGGTATGAGATTTCAATTGCCATAAAATTATGTTGTTATTTTTTGTTGTTGTTCTTTAAATTTATATATTTGTTTTCTCTTAGTTCTCATGTTACAGTGCTAAAGAGTATTAGAATTATATACAAATCAAAGTCTTAGAAAACTATTTTCTCAATATGACAAACTTGTCTGATTCTAATTTTTGCCTGGGAAGCCCCATCCAAATCTACTGCTTTTACTTTGTAAGGTAGAGACCTAGTAATTGCTTAACAAGTACCAAGGAGAAATCTTATGATCAAGATCTTAAGAGCCAAGATATTGGAAAAGCAGTGTTTTAGACTTGGAACTGTTTTGTTGTATTGAATAAAAAAAATCTGAAAGAAAACTTATTTGTAAGGATATTATATAAATTTTAAATTATATATTTCAAAGTCAATCAAAAATATTGTAAAACAAACTTATATACTGGTAAATATTTACCTTTGCACTCTGTCAGATTTATATTTGCCGGGACTGAGTTTACTAAAAAATGAACTTCAATGTCAGGTGCATAGTAAATGCATTGAATTTCCCACAACACATTAGTTCTTTTTTTGATAGCCTGGATCTAGTGGCATTAATCCTCATGGTAAGAAATCATGATATGCTTTGCTGTAATGATTTACATGAGAATTACTAAAACTGTATTTACCTACTTTTCCAGTTTTTCTAATATTAAATATGAAAATATACATTCATCTTCATTAAACTTGTTAGAAAACAATTTGGAGCATCTTTGTATATTTTAACAACACAAATTATTTTGTTATTGATGTGATTCTCTCAAACTGTAAATTTTGTCGCTTTTGCCACAAAGTCACAAGTCTGTCACATTTCCTTGTGATTGACAGAGAGCCCTTGATTTAGGCCAGCTGTTGGAGTGCTGTGCACTTACTGCAAAAGCTTTCTGGAGGCCTTGGCTATCACATTTTCATCGAATGTGAATTCCTTTTTGTACGTGTACATATTGTACAGAGAACAGAAGAGCTCACAGCAGCCCCTAAACGGCATCTGTTCTTTATAGTGAGATGAAGAAGCTGCAGAAGGTTTGTGGAAACTTGCTGAAGCTTGTTGTCACTTAGCAGGAAGTGTTTAGAAGTTTGCGAAGAACAGAATTACAATTTGTCAAATGTTGCAAACTTCGCAGTGAGCACACAATGTTTGATTTCACCGGTGCTCTAAATAGGGTTGCATTTTAGATACTTTCAAAATGACCAACTTTCTTTTTTGGTAAAATACTAAAAATTCCAGCACAGGAATTCACAGTCACCAGGTGAGACTCATTCTTTTACTTTGTTTTTGGCCTGGGGGTTCAAGGTGGGGATGGAGGCTCGTGGCGCTGGAGGCTTTGGGGACAGCATATTCAAGTCACTGTCACAGCAGGCCAGGCCCCTGTCTACTGCTTGGGGAGAAGAAAGTTTTCTTTTTTCATTATACTTTCAGTCTTATTAAAAAAAAAAAAATCCTTAAAGTAGCCAGTGAAGTCCTGGAGTAGATGCTTTAGCATGTGAATCCGCACATTAAGAGTCCTTTGTTTAAAACGCTCCACCCCTACTTAGAATTCATGCTTTGATTGTTACATAAGCCAAACTAACTCAAGTCAGTCAAGAATACATTGCATTCTGAAAGTTTTAAATATTTTTATTTTGGCAGCACTTCTTTTCCTTATCCATGTGTGAATTCTAAGTTCCTTATCTTCTTTTAATCTACCCTCCCTGCATTTTTTTTTTTTTTAATTTTTGAAGGGGAAAGAAGTGCTCTTCCTTCTTTTCTGTGATTAATTTTGTTAGAGAAAGACTGTGATTTCTGTTAAGGAATTTAATACATACTTGGTGTGGATTAGAAATAAGTTATTACTATAATAACTTTAGAAAATATTATTTTATTTAATAATAATTGCCTCTCACCAGTGAATTAGGATTGTGCAGTATAAGAAAATTGGGTGATCAGCACTTTTTTCCAGGATTACAAAACTATTTGCATTTTCTGCATCCAAAGTTTATATTAAACAGAAACATATAATATTAAGATTAAAAACTATGATTATTTAAATAAATGCAGATGTCATAATGAACTGTTTAAGCCCTGAGTCTCTCTGCATTTCCAGGGTTAAGAGTATGTGCACATGGAATTTAGCAGCAACATTTGGAAAGTCATCTGCTGACGAAATAGACCTCTAAGTTTGGAAGGGGGTTCTATTCCTTTTTTCCTGTTGGTTCAGACTGATTCCTTCAAGAGAACCTGGATGATCTAATAAATTCTGGCTTTTTCTTAAAGTTTATGATTTCCTTTTTAAAACAACCAACGCTTTCTCCTGAGGTGGAAAAACAGTATTTTCTATTGTCTTCAGCTCTTCTCTGAACTATTGTTTCCTGATCTAGATGTTCTTACTTGTATTAACACAAGTGTAAGTCCCCAGAAGTTCATGCTTTCAAGTCTGAAGAGAGATCTGCTTGTCTTTCAGGAATGGAGTTTGAGCAAACTGGATGGAATGTGCTGGAGCTGGTCCTGCCTGCAACCTCCTGCCACCTTGGGCCTCCTTCCATACTGCAGGCCCTCTGAAATGGCACTGGCTCTTGTGAGATTTCAGGAACTAATTAAATACTGTCAGTCTGTTTGGGGAAAGGATGTTCTGAAACTACTCCACAAACAGGTTTTATGGACCCCACCCCCACCCCAGACCAAAGAGATCTACAACACCAAGAACTACAAATCCCATAATGTCATCACCACCGAAGGGAGGATTGCTGGGAACTGAGGGCGGAGTTAAGCAGCCAGGATTGGTAAATCACCAGACATGTGGGCCTTGGCGGTCCTTTGTTTTTTGCCAGCCATCAGCGTGCTATTGGGGGTGTCAGTTCAGCTTCGAATCTGGTAGGACACATTCACCAATTTATCTCTCTCTTTCTCCCTCAGCTATTCCTTTCTTCTTTACTTTTTTTTTAAAGATTTATTTATGCATACAAGAACTGGGGTACAGACCAGAAATGTGGGGGGAGGGTGAGAGGATTCACCAGAGACAGAGTGGGGTACAGTGACTCAAATACACTGCTGAGGAGAGCAGCGGGCGAGTCAGGAGAGGTCTGCTGTACCATGTGTGTAGCTCCCTGGCCAGGGATCGAACTCGTAATGCAGTGGCTGTGGACAGCTTCATAGGTTGTGTCTTAACCCCTTGCGCTACCAGAGAGGCCCACTTCATTACCCTTTTTGTAAATAAACCTTTTATTGACCAGTTTGTGTATACCTGCAGCTGAGTCTCATTATAAGTTCCTTTTAAATGAGGATGAGGACTCACAGTCAGGCCAACCCATTTCACATTGGGGTAATTCTGTAACAATTCATTGAATATACTTACCATATTGAGAGAAGTTCTTCCTGGCAGGGTTTCTAACATGCAATGTTAAAACATATTTTTATATCCTTTCTTTAAAAGGGACCTTATCTGATTACTCTTAAGAAGAATTTTAAATCTGAAACTTGTTTGAAAAGCTCAATACTTTCAGGGTTAAACTAGGCCCACTTGGTTGTTTTACCCAGGGTAAATGGGGAGGGGATCATTTTGGCAGGTCTCTGGCATGCTTGTTCTAGAGTGAATACAAATGACCATTTGATGAGTTGTTTTGAGGGACCTTATAAGCACCCCAAGAACTGATGAAGAAACTCATTAATTCTTCAGGAACATTACCTCCCTTAATGGAAAGAAAACAGCCTATTGGCTCTTTAATAGTAATCAAGTGAAATGCAGATGCTTCTAGGCTTTTATTTTCAATCACCATTTATAGGGGGCCTCACTTTTTACCATTAAGTTTAACCAGAAACTATAATAAAGCAGTTTAATTATAACATGGGTTCTCTTTTCCTATAAAGATTTCATATTAGCATGGGATTACCTAATCAAATAATTCTGAAATTTTACCAACAGTCTAAAATAAGAATAAACTTCCAAGCTACTAAATTGATGTCACTGGAAGAAGAATTGGGTAGAACACATAATTGTGTTATTTGTACATGCAGAGACAAAAGATGTAAATAACCTGAAGTGCATAGAAAATGGAAAAATGTAAAATAATTAGAAAGTAATTCATTTTGAGCACTTATTACTTTTGTTTATTGTTCAATTAATTACGTTTATATAATTTAATTGTTAACAAAAGCTGTTTCAACAACTTAGTTGCAAAATTTCTGAAAATTGAACAATTGCTTTCATGAGCCTATATAAACCAGTTCTAGCACACCAAGCCTTATGTTTCAAGCTACCGCTCACAATTTCAAGCACTTCCTTTATGATGAGATCCTTACCCTATGAATGGCCTTGTTCAGTATATAAATTCCTATTGTCTTCTGCATATCCCATTTGAAATTACAAATTCTCAGGGAATATGCTATATTTCTGTTACAAATAGTCTGTCAAATACTAGAACAGATTTATTTCTTCCTTTCCACATCTGCCTGCCCACCCTAATACTAGTTCTTTTTTTCATTCTTCCCTGCACGTTAAAGGGCTTCACCTTTCTTCCCAGTCCAAAGTTCTTAGCTTTGCAAAATATAATTATATTAAAGTTGCAGCTTGCTTATTTTATCCAAAGGCCAAAAACCTGATAATCACTCTAAGAATCTTAAGGAATTATATATAGCTTTAATATAAATGTCCTTTTTAAAAATTTTGTGTAGAAGAACTGGGGTGTAGGCCAGAGGTGTAGGGGGTGAGAGGATTCACCAGAGACACTGTGGTGAGCAGAATAGGCAGATTTACTGAAACACACTGCTAAGGGGAACAGTGGGGAAGACAGGAGAGGTCTGCTGTGCTGTATGTGGGTTAGCTCCCTTGGCAGGCATGGAACTCATGCCCGTGGTGATAGCTCTGAGAATTAACCTCTAACCACCAGGGAGGCCCTATTATAAGTGTTCTTAACCTGAAAAATAAGAGGAAAATCTGTGTCCAATTGACCCTTTTTATGTATTTTTATGTCGTTTTACAAAAAAAAATTACTAATAAATAGTAGAGAAAAAATGACTTCATTAAAGATTTCAATAAGAATTCAAATAAAACCTCATTATGACACATAGATGTTGGCCTTCAAACAGCAGAATTGATGAAAGTATACAGACATATATCTTATCAGCTAAAGCCAATGATACAGATTTTTGTTGGGTTAACCGATGAAGGTCTTTCTATTGAATGACTAATTGGATGTGAATATCATATTTCCTCCTTGTCTTTAGAAATATATTTTTCACTGAGGAGATCGTCCTTTAAAGACCTCTATGCTGAGATCTCATTCTACCTTTGTTCTTTGGAAGGATAACTGACAGTCATGTATTTTTCTTTTAAAGATTTATTTATTTTTGCATACAAGTACTGGGAAACAGGCCAGAGGTACAAGGGTGGGGGTGTGCTAGAGGATTCACAGGAGACTGAGTGGGGAACAGAACAGGAAGACTGACTGAAATACACTGCTGAGGGGAGCAGCTGTTGAAACATGAGAGGTCTCCTTCAGCAAATGGGTCACCTCCTTGGCCCCAGGGGGTTGAACTCAAGCTGCAGTGGCTAAGGATATCTTCACAGTGCTGCAACTTAACTGCTTGTGCTACCAGGGAGGCTCCAGTCATGTGTTTTTGATCATTTTAAACAAACTAGAAAACTAACTTGGTCTAATGGACTTCATGGTATGAGAAAGGATGAGCTTTTGTTAAAGTATAACAGAACAGAAACTTCACAGAGTTTTCCTGAAACTGCAACAGTGTGATATCCATAGAAAAGGGAGGTTTCAAATTCCCTGCCCCACCCAAGGAAGGGTGGAGCTCAGCAATGAGAAGCTAGAAAAGACTGGAAGAAGGACTTAGAAAAGGAGAAAAAAGAATACCTGGAGGAGGCACATGGAATAGGGAGACATGTGAAAAAGCCACACTTGCTTCTCAGTCTTGGACTTATACCAGGGACTTGGGGACACGGAAGGAGACATTTGAAAGAGAAATAGAATGAGAAAAGATGTGGGTGAGACAACTTTGGGGAGGCTGATAATGGCAGCCATTACCTTAATTTGTATTTTGATTTTGCTCTTTTCTTTCCAGACTCGCCTGGCCCCTTCTGCCCCTTTCCTATGGGTCACTGCTAGAATGTGCCTTAGACTTGGGGCAAGCTTTTGGGCCTCAGCTACCTTGCTTTGGGCCACCCTGTTTGCCTGGGCATTTACCCACAAGGGGATGGGTAACTCTGGATATTTAATCGGAAACTATTTTAGCTATTTTTTCCCTTCTCTCTATTGCACAATAATTGTATTAAAGGTCTTTCCTATTGCATAGCTTATGCACTTAGGGTATGTTTGTCTTTATGTGGCAGACGGCAGAACCCATTTAGAACAGGCAGGTTTGGGGGTCCTGAGGTGCCCCTCATTATGTCTGCTAATAAAACCTCATTTGGACAATTACCTCCCTATTATCTCATTCATGGCAACATTTAAAATCTTTGTCTCTTTTCATTTCTTTGAGTGCCCTGCTCAGTTCTTTCCTTGAATCTTTTTTTTTTTTTTGATTTATCTATTTATTCATACAAGAACCAGGGTACAAGCCAGATGTGCAGGAGGGTGAGAGGACTCACCAGAGACAGAGTGGGGAACAGAACAGGCAGACTGATGAAATACACTGCTGAGGGGAGCAGCAGGCGCGACAGGAGAGGTCTGCCATGCCATGCCATGTGGGACCGTCGCCAGCAGGCCAGGATCAAACTGGCGCTGCAAAGCCTGCAGACAGCCTCAGAGCGCTAGAATCAACCGCCTGCGGCACCAGGGGAGGCCCTCCTTGAATCTGTTTTTCTCCATGCTCCATCCAAAGTATTGTCAGTGAACCCTGAACGATCAATGATTATCACTGTTTTTCTTTGAAAAATTGTAACTCAACGTGTCCTACCTCCTCAATACACATAGCCACACACATATAATCCTACTTAGTCAAACTACTTCTCTCAAAATGTCTGTTTTATCAACCTAAATATTGAACCCAATCTCCATTTCTCCAAATTCACCCCGCCATTCCCATTCTCACAGTTCCCTTCTACGAGCTCTCAGATCTTTCTCTTGAGATTTCTGTAACTGTCCCTGGTGTAATTATTTGCTCTGTTCCAGTCTTCTTTGCCCAACCTTCCCCAGATTTATCATCCTGACTCCATTATGGATTTATTTCATCAAGACATCACTTCTATCAAGTTACTGTACCCCTTGAACACCTGCAGAGGTTTTTTGTGTTTTTTTTAAAAGATTTATTTTTTTTATACAAGAGCCAGGATACAGGCTAGATGCGTGGGAGGATAAGAGGATTCACTAGAGATAGAGTGGGAAACAGAACAGGCAGACTGACGAAATACACTGCTGAGGGGAGCAGTGGGTGAGACAGGAGAGGTCTGCTCGCCATGTGGGTTGCTCCGAGGCTGGCGGGGATCGAACTGGCACTGCAGAAGCTGCGGACAGCTTCACAGCGCTGGCCTCAACCTCCTGCGCCACCAGGGAGGCCCTGCAGAGGTTTTAATATGCACCACAGGCTTAGCATCAGGGCCAGGTTCACAGATGTGTGGTCACCGTCACCGTGCTTATTTTAATGCATTGCTGTCACTACTGTGAAATTCTTAGAATTTTATAGTAAATGGCCTCATTGTTATTTTGTGAGTGTTCGCCCCCAAACTGTGTGTCCCATCCTGGTTGGCATTGGAGTCTTCCTGGGCCCATGAATCTGAAGTAAGTTTCTTGCTAGATCACTTTTCCTCTTTCTTACAATAAAAGTTTATTCACATTATTCTTCCTCATTCACACATAATAAATGTCTGGCATGTATTTGTGAGGGGAATAAAATATCATTTGGATAACTTTTTTTTAAGAAAGCTG